GGCTACATCTACATTGGCAAGATTTTGCGCAAAAGCAATTGCTTTTGCGCAAAATCTTGCCAATGTAGATGTAGCCTGAGGCTGAATTTGGCCCAAACTGTGTCACAGCCTGACAGACACCTTATGCTGTCGATTATATTGATGCATATCTAGAGCAACTCACTGAATTGATTGGTTACTTTTGGTTTACTGTAGTGTTTCAAGTATTTAGTCATGAGTTCATAACCATGACTATTCATTCACTACACAAATGAACCATCTCTCTGGTGGAATGGATAACCCACTATTTTCTAGCAATACTGTATAAAATGTTCCCAAAATCTTGCCAATGTAGATGTAGCCCGAGGCTGAATTTGGCCCAATACTGTATAAAATGTTCTGTTAAAAAGAGTAGTGAAGCAATCCTTTCCCACAGTAGTTTTAACAATAAGAATTAAATTACCCAAGTTGAAAGTTGGCCACTCACTGTGGTTAACACCATTGACTCCTGTGAAAAATGCTGTGGGACTTTTGTACTGACTGCAGGTTTATATAATAGCAGCAAAGTGTTCCCTAAAAAATACCTAAGGGCCCAGTTTGGCACTAACTCAAAGGAATAGCAGGAATATAGTGAGTCTCCCCATCACCCATTCACAACAAAAACATCTTGTTTGTATCTAGTTTTTTTAGGTCCAATGTCCAAAAATGCTTAGCCACTAACAGCTGAGATCATAGCTTAAGATGTTCATAAACAAAAATTATGAGTTAGACTGTAAACACACTAAGGGACATTTTAAAGACAGGAAAAATGTCTCTATTATGCTCTAACTTACACATTCATTCTCTTTTTAACACTTGTTAGTCATTTTTGCTTAAGTTTCCAAAAGGGTTAAAAGCAACAATTCTCAATTTGAGATGCTGAAAATTGTGTGCCTTTGCATTTATTTAAGAAATATGTTCTCTGAATAATGCAGCTGCCACATCAATTCGCAGAGCTAAAAACACTGTGATCGCTAAATTATAAATACAATGAACCATGATTGCTAAACAAAGGGGGTGCATTCATTATCAAACACTGCTAACGCTGCATCAAGTGCAAAGTGGCTAAATGAACAGCACTTTCTAACAGGCTCCGGTTGCTGGCATGGAACAGATGGTGCTGCTGCAGAAAAAGACAGCTAATTGTTATTTATCTTACTCTCCTATATGCTTCAATTGTTGTAGTATATGGTAAATTTTAACTGACATGAAAGTTCTCAATAACAATAACTTGAAATTAATGCCTGTTTTTCCCCCAGCTATCACTGTAATGTTTATGATTTTATATGGATGTATTGTCAGTTACATTCCACACATGCCTCCGAAACAGATAAAGGAAACTTTTCTGTGTTTTGATGGTATATTAACAATGTACGAG